GGCCCAGGATCCGACATTGTTTCATTCTGCTGTGCATAGGGTCGCTATGAGTCGGTTCCGACTCAATGGCACCTGACAACAACAACAACATTTAGTTATAGGATATAGGTTCTAGAATTCCAGGACAGCAGAGTATTAGGCTACTTGTTAGTATTTAAGGAAACTTTGGTCTTGTTGATACATGAAACTTTGACTTAGTTTTGTAAATTCTGGGGAATTTTGTTTTCTACTAACAGTAACTTGTTTTTCATAACATTTTCTTTTTGCTCTCTATATGTAGGGATGTATTCAGGTGGTTATTGTTGTTAAGTGCCGTCGAGTCGCTTCCAACCCATAGCGACCCTGAACAGGGTTTCCAAGGCTATAAATCTTTACGGGAGCAGAAAGCCTCATCTTCCCTCCCCTCCCGGAGCAGCTGGTAGTTTCGAACTGCTGACTCTGTGGTTCGCAGCCCGATTCATAACCACTGTGCTACCAGAGTGTAGTCTTTTTTATTTTTTATTTGTTACTTTAGAAATACCTAATTTTGCCAGAGTGGCCTCCAGATCCATTTGAACCATAAAGTCAGCAGTTCAAACTCACTAACTGTTCCTCGGAAACCCTATACAGGGTCTCTATGAGTCTGAACTGACCTAAGGGCACTTAATAACAACAACAATTTTGGAAGACTGGCTTTGTAACACTTACACAAACCTGGGTAATAGCTAACTTAAACACGACTTACTATATGTAAGGCATGCACTATTCTAAGCCATAACATACAGTATTTAATCCTTCAAACAACTTTTTGAGTTGGTAAGCTAACTACACAACTAGTGGCAGAGCCAGACCTGGGATTTAAACCTAGGCATTCTGATTGCTTAGTTTATGCACTCTGACTGGCCAGTCTCTTGTTTTAGTGCTGAGTACAGTACACACTGGACTGCAGGCCACAAGGTTGACGGTTCAAGTCTACCAGCTGCTATACCTGAGAAAGATGAGACTTTCTGCTTCTGTAAAGACTACTGCCTCGGAAACCACATACAGACTTACTGTTAGGGAACCAACTCCTTGGCACTTAACAACAACAATGTAATGCTTCATTGCCAAGGTTATATTTGGATTACATGTCCATGTTATTATATTTTCAGTGGAAACTGGAAGAAGGTTATACCAGATAATTATTAATTAAGAAAGATGAGTTCAATGCAAGAGTGCTTAGAGTACTTGAATGTGTAGCTGATTCCTTGATTAGTATTCTGAAGTTTTTCATGAAACCCTGTTTCCTTTCCAGTATAAGGTAGTGGCATTTTTAGCAATACAAAAATTAATCTTTTTTTCTCTTATACCTCAGGAAAATATTGATGAGTCTTTCATAAAAGAAGCTATTTTAACCCGATTACGTGATGATAGTATAGATGTTGTTCTATCAGCTTTAAGTGCTTTTGAGGTGAGTGAAATTAATTTTTGTTTATAAAGTATTTTCTTGACCATCTCCCATGATTCTGTGCGTTAGGCAGACAAGCATTTCAAATGACTTCCACTGGAAATTTGAGAGCACAGACAAAAGTTGGTTATGGGAAGCTCATAAGAATAATTAGGCTGTACAGTTTGATGAATGTGAAATTTCTTCAAAAAGGAAAAGTGCCTTTTAAATTTCAGTATTGCACATAATGCAATTTTATCCATAGTCAGTATCTTGGGACCATAGAAAATTGATCATAAATACCACATATAATGTATTTTTATCCATAGTCAATGTCTTGGGACCACAGAAAATAGATCATGAATACCAGTGTTTAAGACTGCTCTCATAAATGTTTAAGTTACACAAGGAGTCTTGGGACATACATTTTTAAAAATAATTTATTATTTTTAAAAGTTCACTTAAAAAGCACAATATGCATTTGAAACAGACAAATATTGACTCAATGATTTTTTTTTTTTTCTCTTTTAGATTTTCAAACAGCACTTTAGTTCAGAAGAAACTGTTTCAAGTCTTCTCAATCTCTTTCAAAGAGCAGAACCTTCAAAGAATAGGGAATGGTATATATTCATTTCTCCTTTAAAGTCTGAGTTGATAAGATTTTCATTTCAAATCCATGTTGATTTTTTTTCTTCCATCACTTTTTACACCTTGTCATTAATTCTTCTATCACCTTTTGGTCTTGGTAGTGGAATGCATCTTAATGTGATACTTTTTTCCATTATAAAAGTAATTCATTTGAGTTTAGGGGATTCGTTATACTGTCCACTGTGTAAATTTTTTCCATAACAAAAATGTAAAAAGAAGTATGAAATAATTCCGAACTCTGAGAAGTAGGATGGGAGGGAGCTAGAATTTTCTACTTTATATAACTTCATATTTGACTTCTTTTACAAAGATCACATATTAAACAATAAATTCAGAGGCACATGGTATTTTCTTTAGTAACTGTGTAATGAATGCTGAGTGTTTCATTTTCGGTACCTATGCGTTTAGCACAGGAAAGTGACTAAACTCTTTTGAAGATGAGACCGGTTTTGTATCTGCCATATTAGTTCTTTCTAGATAGGAATGGATGCGTGAGTCTCTGATTTCTAATGTCGTGAAACATTTATTGCCATGCATTTTGTTATGCTTAACCTAATGATGTCTTCCACCCAATAAAAAGGATCTGAGAGGGTTTGAGGTTAAATTATTGCCCCTGATAACTTACATATTAGCATGGACTTTAAGTGACGTCCTGATGGCTCTGAACAATATTTTCTGTAAGGAGACTAGGTATTGTCAGTTGAGCTCCAACAATGCAGTGATGATTTTTTGCTGAAATGTCTCTGTAATGCATCTCTTGAGCAAATGTGCATCCTTACTTTTAGGTACAAGGTACTTGAGACAGCAGCAGACATATTCATCAAAGAAGAGCTTCTGAGTGAAAACCATCAGCTGGCAAATCAGGTGGTGGTACATTTGCTGCCGTATATGGTCATCATCAGTGATGATAAGGTGTCTGCTGAGATGACACTTGCTATATATTTATCAAAATCAGGAATTTGTTCTCTACACCCTCTATTAAGAGGCTGGAAAGAAGGTAAAATAAAGTTAATTGTCTTTATAGAAAGCGCAAACAGATGCAATTTAAAAAGATGTTAACTATAGTAAATACATATCCATAATTGTTATTTTAAAATCATGTTTGTTAAGTTAGATACCAACAAGATTTTTAAAAATCTTTTATACAGTGATAAAAAGTATACAGTGAAAAGGAAATAGACTTTGCAGTTAATCAAATTTGGTTACAAAGGAAAATTAAAAACAAACTTTCACAGGAAAACAGTGAGCTTTTCCCTAAATTCTTTGTTTCACATGATTTTTTGAGTATTGGTCCTACTAGTGATTTCTGTATGCTTTTTTTTTAATTACAGCTCTTGAAAATGTGCTTCAAAGTACCAAGCCAGGAAAACTAATTGGTATAGCAAATCAGAAAATGATTCAGTTGTTGGCAAGTAACCTAAATTCAGGGGATCGCTCTTCAAATTTAAAGATGGTAGGTGTGCTGACGTAGCTCACACTTAGATTTTTGCCCGAAACTGTTGTGCTGGGGTCTCTGCTGTAGCTTTCCCAGGGGCGGCAGCTCTGCTGCTCCTCTGCCGCTGCACCTGCCCCTGCTCCCACCTCCCTTCCTTCTACCTCCCTTCCTTCTCCCTCTGTTTCATCCTTCCTCTTCCTTCTGATTTTTTTGTTGCATTCCTGAGTACTTTGTTGTTTTGTTCCTAAACATGGATAGCTTTGTTTAGTATATTCTGTAGATAATTGAAACCTTAACATCTTGGATAATTTTTTTTCAGTGTGACTCTGTTGTACCAGGAAGAATAATATCACTTTTTTTTTTTAATCTCTTTCAAATGCATTTAAAATACTTGAGAAATGTCTTTTTTTTTTTTTTTTGAATACATTAAAGGGGAAAAACTGCTTTTGCCTTAATAGTAAGTAACCCTAATGTGAAATTATTAGTTATGTCTTTTTTCGAACAGATATCAGTTATATTTATAATTTCTGAAATCATTTTAAAATTTGTTTAGGGATCAGTGTTTTATTACTTTTTTTTTTTTTTTTAGACTTTGTATCTGCTGTTTTTCACTTCAAACGATAGACATGAGGTAGAAAAATGACTTGATAAAAACCAAGCACAGTAATAAAGTGTGTTTACTTTTCAAGGTGGAAGATTTAATAAGTACTGGTGAAAAGGAGGCCTACACCCTGAGGCGGAAAGTGACTTTTCACGTGATCATGTCTGTGATTGTCCGCTGCTGTTCATCTTTAAAAGAAACTTACTTTCCATTTGCAATCAGAGCCTTCCATCTGCTGCAGGAGAAAATAAAGAATCTGGGCAGTGTCATTACTGCAGTGGTAAGGAGGACAGGGTCTCTGGATAGTTAAATGCTTGCAGTGTGATCGCGTGCCTGTTAATCTCAGTAGAGCTGTGACGAGTAGGGCTGGAGTGCTGAGTCTGGTTACTAGCTGGGCGAGATGCAGAGCAGCCTTTGCTAACAGTAGTGCGGGAGGTGGCTATCTTGCTTTTGCAGAAAATTTAATTGAATTAGAAAATTTCAGAGTAATGTTTGAATCTTC